TGAGTTCTCTCGAGTCCTTAATACAATGGGAGGGGGTGGAGGAATAAAAGGAGAAGGGGGGGGGGGGGAATTTATTCCAGATTTTATAAACGGGGGGAAGGGGGGTTTAAAAAAGGTTGGTGGGTAGGGATTTTTGAATGTTATGGTGTAAGTATTTTTTTATAAAAAATTTCAGTTTATAAATCCAAACTAATATTTTTTACAAATCATTTTTTAAAGCCTGTTTACGCTAAAAAATTTTGTTTTTATTAGTGACTGTAATAAATATTTTCTAACTTTTTTTGAAAAGATTTTTTTTTTTAGATAGCAAGTAGAAATTAATAAACGGGGTGGGTGGCGGGGGGGGGGTCTAAATAAGCTTTATGCGGGTGGAAAATTTTCCAAAAAATAATAAACGTCCCCCCCCCCTTGTATCAGGGACTCGAGAGTAGCGGCTGTAATCTTCTAAGATTCTTAGAAGATTAATAAATATAGCCTATTTTGTTTATTTTTATAACTTGAAAAAATGAAAAGATAATATCAAAATCTTTCTTTATTTTTTAAAAAGAAACCATTTTTTAAAAATGTTATGTAACAAGTTTTAAAAAAATGTTCCGCAATTGGCCAAATATTGGCTCCTGCATTAGATTTTTATAGCAAAATATTGAGTCGAAACTATGTTGGCCAAATGTTGGCTCAACATAGTGCAATATTTTCAAAAACAGATTTGGAGAATCGTCGAAAAAAAACATTGGCAAAAATTTGGCACAACGTTTAAACTAACTTGGGCCAATGTAAGCTTGCTGTCTTGTTTATTAAATAGTCTTAAAAGTTTCTCAGTGGCTGATATGGTTAGCTCACTAAAGATTTAGTGACCAAAGTGGTTTACTCACTAAAGATTTAGTCGCTGAAGTGGTTAGCTCGCTGCGCTTCCGAAGTACAGCACAAGGGTTCAAATCCTGTTGCTTGCACATTGATTTTTTTTTTAATTTTTTCTAATTTCTAAATTACAAAAACATTTTTAAAGCTCTGTTGATGTTATATACACAACATATTTTAAGATATTTTATACTATAAAAAACAAAATATGAAGAGTGTATTTTCAAAATGTGGTATATCCAATTTTGTGGTATTGAGGTAATTGACTTTTTTCGCCACACAATCATGTCTCATATATTTGGAAAATAAAAAAAGTATATATATATATATATATTTTTTGATTACAAATTTTTTTTGATTACAGCATTTACTTTCAAAATACTGTATATCCAATAACAGCTCATTAGCAAAATCAGAGCCGTGGCTAAGTTCCTAGCCACGGCTCTGATTTGACTGCCACACAATCGGTGGGGGGGGGGGGTTTGAGGGAGGGGGCAGTATTTTTAGGGGTCCTTTAATAAGTTAAAAAGTTAATAATTTTTATTTTTTTTGTATTTTTTATTATAAAAATATTAAAATATATATTGTTACTGTTACTATTAATAAAAAAATTTGGCGTTTTAATCATGATATCAACTAAAACGTGCAAGAGTAAAAAAAGCAATAATATTTTTAAGGTACTAGGTAAAATGCGAACTGCGAACTGCGAATTGGTAAAATGCGAAATTTTTTGCGAACCATCGTGCTATTGGTTGTTAATGAAATAAAGTTTTATTTCTGTAAAATAGTTCATTTAGCGGTATATTTTAAGGACTAAAAGGGTAAAAAATTAATAAAAAAAAAAATAAATAAATGGAAATTAAGTGAAACTAGACATATACAATATAATTTTTTTTTTTTTAATTATTTGATAGACTGCCTGCCCAAACCAAACCCTCAGTTGATTTAGCAGCACTCCGTTGCGAGTCAGGCTATAAGATAATCGATGTAGCAACACTCCGGGCAGGTTTTACAATTAAAAAATAAATTTTTTATTTTAAATAAAACTTTAAAATAGATAATTAAGAATTGGAGAGTTTTTTTTATTATTATTTTTATTACAACAATAATGGTCTTTAAAATACAATGTTTTGGTTCGCAAAAAAGCTCGAATTTTACCGGTTCGCAGTTCGCATTTTACCGACAACCTATTTTTAACGCGAAAAAACTGTTTTACACTCCTGCACGGACATTTAGATATTAGTAAAAAGCGGAGTTAATATACGCAAGCGCAGTAGGATTTTTTAAACTTTAAAAAATAAAAAATAGCGACGGACCCTCAGGAAAAGGAAAAATGTAATTAAAAAACCACTTATTTGTATATTCTCGGTCATAATATACGTTTCTAACTATTTATTGAGTTAAGAAGTTTATACATAAATTAATTACATAAACTATTATTTCAAACACAATAAATGTCTCATTATGAAAAAATATAAACACAAAAAAGTTACTTTTATTGTGATTTGTTTGCAATTTTTAAAATTCTTTTGCTCATTATTTGAGCGTTAAAATTAATTTTTTTATTTATTTCAATTATAAAAGATTTTTTTTTTTTTTTTTAGTAGTTGGTTTAGCTACGTGGATTCAATTTTTATTCTACATAAAAAGATAAAACATTTTGTGCTAAATTTGTATTAAATTAACAATCTTTACTTGATTTTAAAACACTAATAATTCAATAATTATATAAAATCTCAATTTAAAAATTATATAATCACAATAAAACATACTTTAATATAATTTGTTTATAGTTTTGAGAGTCTTATTGTTAACTGTTTGAGCTAACCTTAGCTGTTTTACCTGATAATTCTATTGTTTTCCAAAAATATTTTTTTATGCTTTTATAAACTTTATTATAAAAATAACTTCAATATAAAGTATTTTTCTATATCCCAGAAATTCTCTATAAAAATCAAAGTGTTTTAAAATAAAATAGTAAAATTAAGTTTAAATTCAGTTTTAAAAATGTGAATTAAAGATAAACTTTGCTTAAAAAAAAACTCTTTTTAAATTTTTCGTATATCTGAGGGGATTTTCACCTAAGGTTCATTCTTTTTATTAATAAGCTGTATATGTTGTAATCTTTTAAATTCTTATTTATTACTTTCTAATTTCATTAGTCACTGTGGTAGCGAATGGGTCGTAGGCTATTTATAACTCGATATTAGAGGCCTTTACAAGTTAAAATTATTTCTAAATTAATGGAAACCTAACCTAGGGCACGAGGAAGTTTAGTAGTAAGTCAACAAAATTTTCTTTACTTTTCTAAATAGCTATTTATTTACATAATAGTTTACATGATATACAGGCAATAAACAAAAAAGTTAAAATTGAAATTAAATTATAGTTAAAATTCCTTTTCCAGTCTTTTAATAATCTGTACCTACTACAATCTAATTAAGCGCAAAAATATTTAAGTAAAATGTAAATTGCAAAAATATTTAAGTAAGTGCAATTTAGGCGAAATAAAAAAATATAACTTTCTTTCTAAAAACCATTGATTAATAATTCGTTCTTTTTTGCTTGACGTCATTTTTGGATAACTTTGCTACTCACAAATAAATGTTTTTAACTGTTGAGATTATATCTTCTTTTATTTTTGAAACAAGGACAGAAAATGTTATTGGTTCCAACATTTATTGCTATCTATGGTCACTATCTAATTTCATATCTAATAAAATCGCTGGATAGCTTCCTTTGATATATCATGACTAAAACAAGGAGAATGATCATTGTTCAACTGTTATCATAATACGTAATGAAGTGAAACACAATAAAAATATACAAGATTCAGAAGATTTTGAATTCAAAATATTTTATAAAATATATAAACATTACTTATACAGAATTTTTAGTAGACTTTAAGGTGAATACTGCTTATGAAATGACTGCTGAAACCGGCAATAGTAGAATTTTTGTGGAAACTGAATATATATTTTGTATATTATTAAATATATATTTGTATATTTATAAATAAGAATAATATTAATTTAAATAAATATATATTTGTATATTAATAAATAAGAATATAAAAATTTAATAATATTGCCTATTATTAACTATTAAAATATTGGGAATCAGATTATATATATATATATATATATATATATATATATATATATATATATATATATATGTATATATATATATATATATATATATTTATATACATATATATATATTAGGGTGTTTCTTATTTAGGGTTAAATTTTTTTTTGTTTTTCAGTGGGCCACCCACTGAAATGGTTTATTTTGATGAGAAAATAAATGTGTAAAAATTTGAAAGGGGAAAAAAACATTTTTACTGGGCGCTACCAGTCATTGAAATTTAAGGCATATTTTAATATGCGCTCTTAGTCATTAACATAAGGAAAAATCATAAAACTGATGGAGACTGGTGATAATGACTCATTTACTTGATACACATTTATTTACTTATTACATGCATTAAAAGCATCCATTGTTTGTCATTACATTTCTACTTATGTATTAAAAGACAGCAATAAACATGCTTTTTTACTTTGATTGGTTTATTTAAAACAATAGTTACAGTACTAAGATTAATCACTTATGAGAGTTATCTTTTTTCTGTCAGGATATTTCTGTCTATATTTTTGAACTACCAACAACAGGAACTGCTTTTGCTCTTCGTTATTTGTATGTAGTCTACTATATTTGTCTATTAGTGCTACGCCACGTTCTGTAATGTCGTTGACAACCTTCATGCTTCCAACAGTGGACTTTACAGTCTTGAACTCATCATCATGTTTCCATTCGCTCACACTGTTTTGAAGAAAGTGTGATGGAAGTCCTGTGATGCTGAAAAATCTTCGTGTATTAAACGTGACAAAGTCCTCTAGTTTCTTTTCTTGTATAACGTAGCAGTCAACAGTAGCTCGTTTCATAGGTATCTGATCTAAAACATTGTTCAATGCTTGGACCATCTTGACCTTCGTCTCAGGGCGAACCTTATCATCAAAAAAAGCTAAAGCAACAAGTTTCTATAATAAGTACCAGAGATGCCTTTGTAACTTCTTCACATCAATTTTCGAGATCTCAGGATGCTGGGTCTTGTAGGCATCCAAGTCTTTTAAGAGCTGCAGATCAAGGAGCTGAGATTGCTCCAGGAGATCTGTACCAGGCTGTAATGAACAGTTAAACCTTAAAAAGGCAAATATCCCTTATTCCCTTCTCCTCTCTTTTTGTCAACCTGAAAAACATTCAAATCTTCAACGCATAAATAGCTTTCGCCATCCAGTGAGCACATTGTAGACCGGGAGGAGCTCTAAATGAAATGCTCCTCAAAGGTACTCCTTCCAAAAAAATAATAGACAACTCCAAAAGTTTTCGATAATCGTCTCAAGGTTGAAAGACTTGTAGTTGATCTTTGCAAAAGACGATTCTTTCATCAGTGATATCGGTAAGTGCATTTGAAGTGTTCTTATCAGACTGTGCTGTGTGGTACTTTGTGGAATCAATTGAGACCCAACTTTTTTGAAATTTTTTAAAGAGTGGTATGTCAGGTCCGCTTGAAGGGCGGAGACACAGCAAAACTACTACTTCCAAAATAATTTACAGAATGTGGTGACGACATGATAACCACAAAATATCTTTCCTAAACTTCTGCTCTAGAAGAATGCAAGCCCCATTTCTTTGCCCAGTATTGGCTGCAGTAGTATCAAAGCACATACACTCTACTTGATTGTTAATTCCCCATGCCACTGACACGTCATGCACTGCAAATGCCATATTTTCACCTGCTCCTGATGGTAGTTTTGGGACACTAAGAAGCTGCTGCACTCCTGCTCCAGATACTAGAATTGGAAGTTGGTCAACAGTTTGTTTACACTTCTGATTTGAATTCCTTCCTTGAACCTTCTGCTATTTTCTTGACGTGTTTAATTCGTTCCCTTCGAGTGGAAGCTGGATTAACATTGTATTCTGTTAGATCATGACCAAGAAGTTGTAATGCCGATGTTAACACAAGTGCCGCCCCACGATCACTCTAAATTAGTCGCCAACTTCTCATTCAGTATATTTTTCCTGCCACGTCTAGGACGCTTTGGAGCCGGTGTACCTGAAGTTGATGGCTTAGGGTCATTTTGGTTACCAGGCAAGGCATCTTCTTGAGTTATGCTATCTTCTTTAGGGTTATCTTCACCTTCAGATGATGATGAAAGAACAACTGTTTCTTCTCGAGATTTTCTTGCCATCTTCTCTCGGCCCCTTTTTCGGTTCATTTCTTTTTGACCCATTTTGCCTCTCCAAATTTTCTTTCTTTGGCATAATAGGAAGACCTTATCTTCCTGAATGCTGATCATTTCTAATGCGTTGGCATGGGCAATATTGAATAGTTCTTCTAACCCTTCATTTCATTGGTCTTCCTTTTGTTTTGTTTTTAATCTGAACGCTTAGTTTTATTCTCTTTATTTTTCTTCAACTTTTCCCATTCCTTGTAAATGGTTTCACTTTTAGGGATAACGTGCTTCTTTAATTGCACAAGTATTCGGGCCTTTGACCAAACTTCAAAAACATCATTTGCTGTGGAATGTAATGCTTTCCTAATGCTTTACTTGGCAATCTGTTTGTTAAGGAAGAAAAGGGCCAACACTTCTCTTTTTAATGGAAGCATAACACTATCTAAAGAAGAGGACATCTGTCCAATAAGTCATATCTCAGTTTTCTTTCTGGTAGCTATTGTTGCATTTGTTGATGAAACCATCATTGTTCAGTAGTTACACTAGTTTAACCTGCAAAAAGAACAATTAATTACATATACATGTTTAACATAAAACTAGGGTTTTAAAAACATGTGTTAGTAGAGTTATACTTTGACATTTAAAAAAATAATTGAATCCAAGAAGCAGAAAAAAGAAACAAATTATGAACATATTAATCAAAAATTAGAAAAAAAAAAAATTAAGTTTCAACGCTCAGAAATTTTTTTAAAAAATTTCAAAAAAGTAAACAATTGAGGTTTTAGTCTAAAGCCTCATTTGTCTATGTATTTGTCTAAATTTTAGAAAGATACATAATGATTGCATAAAAAACATATTTTAATATACTTAGACGCTTTCCTTCTTATTATTTTCATTTTATTATCAATGAACTGGTTAATACTAATAATCATTTTATTAAAAGAATAAGGTTTAGATATTTATCAATACCTAAAATTAAGTATATGGTTGTTATTAAATAAATATTTTCGTAACTAAAGACCGTAGCATTCATTAAAATCTGAACTTTTATGAATCAAACTGTTAATGAGAAACCATTAAAAAGCAGCATATCGTACGAAGAAATATATTTCTATAAGTCGCTTATTTTACGAATATATTATTGTTTGCACTGGTGAAGGAACAGGGGGATCTTAAAAATAATTTTATAAATAACATTTTTATGGATCTTTTATAAAAAAAAAAAATGAACCAAGTTTTATTTCTAAATATCTTGACTTCTAATTCTTTATTGAGAATTGGTTTGTTCAATATCCACTTTTTACTGAAAAAATATTTTTGTTGTTGAAGAACTTCACTTTAAGATATATTTGTTCAATATCTACTATAAAATATATAGAATCGACATTGCTTTTCAAAATTTTCTAATCTTTTTTGTTCAAAATCCAAAAAAGAAAATGTTCTATATAAAATTTTGTTTAATATCCGGATATTAAACAAACCTATACCTTAAATTCTTGCGTGAGTAGTTGTTTATGTAGTTAAAATTGTCAAAACATCAAAATATGTAGTAACCTGGTGGGAAATCGGCTAGCGAAAAGCTATCGATATTTGTAAAGATAAAGACAGCGATTTGGCTACGAGGACTGCAAGCTTAATAAGCTAAAGACCCACTGGCTATTGTAGCTAGCGTCATATCTTGATAAAATCGCTGTTTAAAAAATTTTGATATGTAGATATCAACCAGCTATAGATTTGTAGATATTTTGTAGCTAGCTACAAAGCTATGATATGTAGCTAGCAACACGTTGCTACAAAATCGCAATGTTTAAAGCTAAGTTATTCTTATAATTATAATAGACTCAACACAAAAAATAAATTTTTTAAAGATGATAAAGACATTAGGAAAAAAAAAATTATAAATAAAAAAAAATCGCTTGAAAGTCACTATAAAGCTAGCTAGTCGCTCATTTTCCACCGGAAATATATTAATAAAATTGTTCTACGATCAAGATAAAGTAATATTGGTCGTAGATAATATTATAATTATAAAATAGTTTTTTGAATTTATGACACGCTATATGTTTGGTAGAAGAACTAATTTTAAGTTTAATTTTTTTAATGTTATTTCATTTTGTAAAATTGTTAAAGCAAACAAGATTATATATTATACGTGATGATGTGTTGCTTTGTTAATTATCCTGACGTTTAATATACTATAAAATTATTGATCGTTAATGATTTTGTATAAGGAATCATTCATAAATTACGTCACGCAGTTTTGTAACGCATCCTTAACGCTTAATTGACCCCCCCCCCAATGTAACGCGACAATTTTGTACCCCCTCCCACCTTGGGTACAAAATTTGGTTGATGCAAAATTTTACAAAAAACAAAACGATTTTAAATATAATAATGTCTATAATTCTCTGAGCTTCTTTGAGTTAATTAATTAGTACTTTTCAGTCTGTTTAATGTTTTTTTTCACCCCAATAGTTTCGTGTAAAATTGTATAAATTAACATCGCTATCCTAAACATTATACTAATTTTAAAAATTCTTCCGATAAATAATACATGCAAAATATTATATATATATATATATATATATATATATATATATATATATATATATATATATATATATATAATAAATAATAATATATTATACATGCAAAAATATTATTTTATAAATACAATTTTCTTTCTAAGCGTGGTCGTGTGAATTCTGATTCCGGATAATAAACTGAGAGTTCCAGGCTCGCTTCTCAGCACGAGGATACTTTCTTTTTTTAATTAGTGCACAAAAATTGTTTTTTTTGCTGCTGCACACTTTTGTGCACCAAATAAATAAAGTTCTGCACTTGAGCCATATAAATTCAAAACGCAGAACGTGCAATGCACATACAGCCGTAACAGTCCGTTAACAGGCTGTAACTACTCCGTTAACGGAGTGTGCACATCGATTAAGTAAGATTTAGGCGTAGTTGATTTTACAATCAGCATCTTTTTATTAAAAGAAAATCTTCTAAAAAAAAAAATGTAGCGTCACAAAGTTGAGACTCCCCCTCTCCGTCGTAACAAATCATTACAAAATCGCCTACCCATTCCCCCCCTCCCTAAGCGTGACGTAATTTATGGACGACCCCTTACAAATTTATCTGCATTCCTAATCACCGAAAAAAAAACTATATCTTCCAGGCAATACTTCTAGAACTTTAACAAACTGAGTTTTTTGAAAATGTTGAAAAAAGAAAATACTTAAAGAAAAAAGAATATACTTCCATTGAATTTCAATGGGAGTATTAGTACATTTTGTATATTTCATAACAACAACAACAACAGCAACAAAAACAACAACAACAACAACAACAACAACAACAACAACAACAACAACAACAACAACAACAATAACAACAACAACAAGCTATTTATTTTCCGTAAATCATTTTCACAATAGTTATCAAAATAATAATAGTAATAATAATAATAATATATTATAATAATATAAGCTGAAAAAAAAAATTATGCAAATTATAGTAATAGTAATAACAAGTATGTTTACAATAATTACAATGAAAAAAATAATAATAATAACTAATATTAACATAATAATAAGTTAATGATTTATTAGGATGGTGTCACTCATAGAGAAAACTGATCAAAGGAGTGACACCAGTTTTTAAAAGACACACGCTGAAACATATTGACCGTAAACAGACAGACCAAAGCACATAAAATATACATTAAAACAAACATGTAGAAACCAATTTGCAGGTTTTAATAATAAAAAAAATTAAAAAAGAATAAAAAAAAAGTGCTGATGATAATTAGTAATTACGAAAAGAAAATTAAAATAATATTTTAATCGTAAGGATAATAATGGCTGAAAGTTAGAATAAAAAGTTTTTCAGAATTTTTTTAAATTGATATTGTTTAAGATAGAGTTAAGGTATTTTAGGATATATTTATTTGGAATCATTCAAAATGGCTTTCATTCAAGGCTCCTGTTCCATTCACAGGTGCACTGATAAACAATAGAATGTTTAGCCTACTTCTGGGTTTTAAAAGATGATACATTTAGTTTTCCATTGTGTATATTTCTAGTCGAGTAGGAATGTAACAGTCTACTTTCTGTGAACAAGGTTGTTATAGGAGATGGTATGTTTTTATTTAAGGAGTCAAAAAAAAAAAAAGAAGATTAGCATACTTTACTAGCGCTGGAAATTTTAGAATGAAAAGTTATTTGAAGGACTTCGATGTGTTTGATTTAATTGGTTTGAAGTTTATTAATCTAATCGGTTGATGGTGAGACGATAGCAACTTGTTAATACGATAGTTTCCAACTTGACCCCAAACTTCACAACAATGGCTAAGATGAGATGAGAATAATGCATAGTAAATATTCCTAAGTGTAACTTTATCGACATAATGACGAATTATTGAAAGCACTGTTAGCTCGAGTTTCTTGCTTAGTTCATCAATATAAAAGTTCCATGAAAGATTACAATCAATTAATACACCAAGATATTTAATAACTCTTGAAGGTTATAGCCGTTTATTATTAATTTTGATTTCAACATTTTTAAAGAAATTTTTCGGTTTTGAGATATATTAGGTTAGCATTTAACCAGTGAACTATACCTTTTAGATCCGAATTAACATTTTTACATAAAGAATGATACGATTTGTTGATATGCAAGAGATTTGTATCATCAGCAAACAGATGAACTGAAGTAATGTGAACAGAGTTGATTAAAAACAAAAGAGGACCTAGAACAGAACCTTGAGGAACACCACACAAAACTGATTTATTACTAGAATTGAAACCATTAATATTTAAAAATTGTTTTCGATCTGAAAGATAAGTTCGAAACCAGTTACAATGTCATTTACAATACCACGAATTCCATTATGTTTTAGTTTAGAAATCAAAATACTATGGTCAACGGTATCGAAATCTTTTTGTAAATCAATAAAAACACCACAAACAAAATGACCAGTTGCAAGAGCTTTCGTAATTTTTTCCGTTATACTTATTAATGCATAGCAAGTAGAATGTTTCGATCGAAAACCAAAGTGAAAATTATTTAAATAATTAAATGAATTTAGAAGAGAGTACACTCTAGAATAAAACATATTATAAAAAAGTAACAAATAAACACTAAAAAATAACATTTAAAAAAACAAATAAAATAAAATTCGTTAATGTAGATTGATTATTCGTTAATGTAGATTGATTATTCGTTAACGTAGATTGATTTGTTAACGTAGATTGATTACACTTAAACATTGTGTGTGTGTGTGTGTCTGTGTGTGTGTATTACTAATATTATTAAATTATTTTTTACAATTAATCATTACAACTAACTTGTTATTATTTGTTTCATTGTTGTTATTGTTGTTGTTGATTAGGTCCCATGCCCACTGGTCTTCAACATCTAAATATACCGACTATTTCTTTTTTTTATAGAGCCTGTTTTTAATTTGAAAACAGACTCTATAAAAAATATACAAAATATAATAACATTGATATTAAAATTGAACTGTTTTTAAAATTCAAAGTTTATACAGAATCAGTTTAAACAAAATCAGCAATATATTAAAACTTACTATAAAAATCTTATTTCATAACCTTTTTTAGTATAAACCTAAACAATATCAAGAATACTTGGAAAGGAATAAAAAAACTAAGATTATTAAAATAATATTAAGCCTTTCTACTATAGTTCAAATTAATTGACAGATCCGATTAATGTATCGAATATATTTAACTTCTTTTTTTTTTACTATCCAAAACAATTTACAAAATAAAATCATACCTCTCAGTAAGCACGCGACTTAAAAAAGACGTCTTTTAAACGTTTCGGACGTCTTTTGAACGTCCAAAAGACGATCTTTTTAGGTCTCATGCCCACTGGTCTTCAACATCTAAATATACTGACTATTTCCATATGCTAATTCGTTTTTTATTGATCCTGTCATAAAGAATTATTTTTTAATTTCATTAAAACCACTCTTAGAACAGGAAAAAGGTTTGGTCTTAATAGCCATCCAACATTCTTTCTTGAATATTTATTCCAGATAATATTTCTAAGCCTCTTAGTATTATTATGGTTAACTTATTTTAAAATAGAATTCCCAGGTACTTTCAAAGGATCTACAATAGATATGTTTAATCATCAATCCATCTCCCTTCTTTCTAACATAAACAAACTTTTTGAAAAAGCTATGCATAAGAAGCTCTGCGCATTAGGTAATTTTAAATGACTTTACAAATACCAGTATGGGTTTTGTGCCAATCACTTTACAACCCACTCACTTATTGAAAGTACTGAGTCAATTAGAAAGTTTTTTGATGATGAAAACTTGACATGTGGTGGTTTTGTCGATCTACAAAAAGCTGTGGATACAGTAGATCACACAATCCTATTCAAAAAACTATAATATAATGAAATCAGTGGAATTTCTATTAAATGGTTTCCAATCTTCACAACAGGGTTGCAGTTTGTTTCCATTTATCACTCGAAAGTTATTTAAATAAAATGTTTCAAAGGTGTCTCTAAAAGTTATTTTCTGGTTATATTCAAATCCAATAAGTCAAAAATCAATAAAAACTTAAATTTTTTGTTTAAGTGGGCAGAAAATCAATTCTTGTAAACTCAATTAATTATCTTGAATATAAATCTGATTCTAACCTTTCGTTTGTATCCTATCTTAAAAACCTAGCCTCGAAATTGAGCAGGTCAAATGGAATGTTGGCTAAAGTTCTCCATTATGTCAACATGGAAACATTTTTAAATATACGTTACGTTTATCAATCCATCATAATTTGAACCTACGAGTCATGAAACACCTTTCTGCTACTTATGGGCATAAGTCAATAAATTAATAAGTATAAAATCAACTTATTCAACATTATTCTAAATAAATACAAACAATATATCTAAAGGTATGTGTATATATATATATATATATATATATATATATATATATATATATATATATATATATATATATATATATATATATATATATATATATATATATATATATATATATATATATATATATATATATATATATATATATATATATTTGTATAAGTGTGTGTGTGTGTGTGTGTGTGCGTGTGTGTGTGTATTACTAATATTATCAAATTATTTTTTACAATTATTAATTACTAACTTGTTATTATTTTTAAAAATTCTGAAGAGTGATCCAATTTGTCTAACTACCGTCCCATTAGTCTTCTTCCTGTCATAAGCAAGGTTTTTGAATCTTTAATTAACAAACACTTAATCTCTCATCTCGAATCTCATAACCTACTTTCTGACCATCAATATGGATTTCGATTTTCTCGTTCTACAGCTGATTTGCTTACAGTAATAACCGATAGGTTTTATCGCAAACGCGCATTAGATAAAGGTGGAGAGGTTAAGGCCATCGCACTTGACATTTCTAAAGCGTTTGATAAAGTTTGGCATACTGGTCTTCTCCATAAGCTTTCTTCTTACGGTGTATCTGGAAACATCTTTAAGATTATTGAATCCTTCCTTTCCAATCGTAGTATAAAAGTTGTCCTTGATGGACAGCACTCTTCTTCTTATTCTGTAACCTCAGGGGTTCCTCAAGGTTCAATCCTTGGCTCTATACACTTTTTAATTTACATTAACGATCTTCCAGATATTCTCACATTTAAGGTGGCATTGTTTGCTGATGATACTACCATTTATTCTTGTCACGATAAGAAGCCAACTCTCTCTGATTGCTTGCAGGGGGCATCTGAGCTTGAAAAGGATCTTTTCTGCTACAGCATGGGGCTCACAGTGGCTGGCGAACTTTAATTCAGATAAAACTCAATTTTTTTCAGCTAATTGTTATCGCAATAATTTAGACCTTTCTATATTTATGGACGGTAATGTACTCGATGAGTCTCCTACCTTTCATCTTCTAGGATTAACTCTTACTTCTGATCTTTCTTGGAAACCTTATATCAAATCCATAGCAAAGTTAGCATCTGCTAAAGTTGCTTTTCTTTATCGAGCTCGACACTTTCTTACTCTGAATTTTATTCTCTATCTCTACAAATCTCAAATCCGGCCCTTGGAATACTGTTGCCATATCTGGGGCGGATCTTCTAATGATGCCTTTTCTCTTTTAGACAAGGTGCAAAAACGCATTGTAAACATACATGGACCTGCTCTTGCAGCCAACCTTCAACCTCTGTCACATTGTCGTAATGTTACTTCTCTTTCTCTTTTCTACAAATACTATAATGGGCACTGCTCTAAAGAGCTAGCGTCTCTTGTGCCATCTACTAAAATTCATTCTCGTGTTAATCGTCATTCAATAAAGTCTCATCCTTTTTCTGTTACTGTTCCTAAGTGCTCCAAAAACTCTTGTCTAGTTTTTTTCCTCGAACATCAGTTCTTTGGAATTCGCTTCCTTCATCTTGCTTTCCTGATTCATATAATTTGCAATCTTTTAAGTCGTCTGTCAATCGTTATCTTGCTCTAAAATCTTCATATTTTCTCTTCCAGTAACTTCCAACACTAATTAGTGGTTGCTTGCAGCCTTGTTGGAAGCGAAGATGTTAAAAAAAAACAATAAATAAATTTGTTTCATTATTGTTATTGTTGTTGTCAATGCTTTAAATAGTACTTTCATTATTTTTCATGTTATTGTTATTAACTCCAGCAAGGTGTTTACTTAAGATTGGTACATGTACTATTTGTAAACACCCATGAAGTTTAATAACTATTTAAGAAATATATACTGATTGCTTTATTTATTAGCGCTTAAAATGGACTACGAACTATTTCTAGAACGCCATGGATTAGTGGCATTATTATTATTTATAATTTTTTTTTTAAAACAACTTTTTTCAGATTATATGATTTACTGATTGTAAATTTGAATGATAGAATTTTCGTTATTGTATTTAATTAATAACAAAGTTATAAAACTATTTTTTTTAAATTTTGTTTTTGTCAGCAATAAGAAAGTAGGATTCTAAACAAAGTAATAATATAATTTAGTTATTAGATTTAATACTTAACACTGAGCATTTATAGTAAAAACGTTGTCTTGGGTCACACTATAGTTAGAAAGAAAGCAAAAATAATAATATTATTGGCTGTTATCACATTTTGAAATCATCGATATACAAAATTTAAAAAAAAACAGCAGTTAGCATCCGTTTTTTTTTTTCAGCAAAAAAAAAACGACAACATCCATTGGAACAATCGAAAATATTTGCATTTTGTAATCTAATAAAGAATCTGAAAAAATATAACAGAACTAATTAAAAGTATTTGTTAAGAATGTTTAAAACTTTAAAAAAATAATTTAGAATAACTAAAAAAAAAAAATACAATAAGAATTATTAAGAGCTGAAAAAAAGTACAAAGAGTCCAACAAAAAAACCCACAAACAAACCTCAAAAAACTTATCATCGAGTAAAAAACTTTAATATAAACCCTTGATTTAATTGTATGAGTTTGTAAAACTTGCATGGTAATCCTTCTAACGAAAGTATTACTATAAAAGTATCTAGCCCTGATTTGCAAAATAATTTAACGTTTTTTCTTCTAAAAAGTTGCTTTTAACTTAAAAGAGTCTTTTTACTTTTTACTTTAGTCATACCTCCAAGGTTCCGTTCATGGTTTGGACTAAAATATTTTTGTCATATTCTAATAAGAAAATGGCATTTAAGAAACTTGTCTAAACCACGGACGGAACCAGGGAATTTTTTAAAAATTTACTAAACTGCTGTTTAAACTCTAAAACATGAACTTTGATAAACCAAATTATTGCGCGGAGAATTAAATTGAATTTTTTACTTCCAGAAAAAAGGTGGTATTGAACACCTTATGTCTTGCATTTGAAGCGAGTGCTCTAACAATACACCACTACCACTCTATAAATGTATTTATTTGTTTTAGCCACCCTGTCCTGTTGATAAAGCAAACATTTTATCTAAAATATTTTTTGGATGGGTGACCAGGTAAAAATATTTATTTTTAATCATTAATTATTTATCTGTACTTTTTTGGATTACTTCAACTTTGATTTAGGTTGATTCAATGAGCTCTGATGCTCATTAATTTAGCCAAATGAATAAAGGAAATTTGTTTAAACGTCACGTTTAAACGAATATAAATATGTTTAAGTGTCAAAACTAGGGAAAACTATTGTTAAAAAACTTTTGTCAAAAAATAAAACTATTTTTCATTTTAATATTAAAGAATATTTATGTTAGCATAAATAACTTTTTCAGGCTTTAGAAATTTTTTTAGTGATAAAAAGTAAGTAAATAGTTGTGCAAACAGTTGTTGAATTATGTTGATTTTGAATGGAGTTGTGCAGAATTGAATGATACTGAATTGAATTGTGCTGATTCTGAAACTGAATTTGAAACTGATTTTGAAAACTGATTTTGAAACTGATTTTGAAACTGATTTTGAAACTGATTTTGAAACCGATTTTGAATTGAATTGAATTGATTTTAAATTGAGTTGTGGTGATTTACACATTTTTCAACAAGTAGATCTAGACAACAAATAGATCTAGATCTATTTTGAATAGTCTGTAAGATACATTTTAAAATATTTTGAGAAAAATTAATTTGAAAGTCATCTAAAAGTTACTTTTTTATGTGACTTATGCGCTCTTCAAAACTTATTATTTCAATTTTAATGAATTTATTAAAAACCTGTTAAACGGGTTTCTTACAGGTAGAATATATCATTTTATATACAGTTATTGCCGGCTATAAAGATCCAAACCCCATTATTTATAGGAAAAAATATTGTTGAAAACTTGCACCTTGTTGATTTATGTTACTATTCTTAGTAAATTATGCAAGGCTTATTCTTATACAACATGTGAGAGTAAGGGTAAACTTTTTTCAATAAATTAGTTATCCAAAATATAAAATAATAATAGTAGATAAATAAATAAAATAAACTTATAATAAATAAGCCACTTTAGATGTGCTCGTTTTTAGTGTTATCTTGGTTTAAACTTAACAACATAAAAGACATAAAAAATATATATAAAAATAATATCATTAGTTATAAGTTGTTTTTAAAATCAGTTATAACAGTACACATTACAAGGCAAGCCCAACACAGCATGTCGCACTCTCGGAAAATTTGAGACCCTAATGCTGATGAAAAATCCCATCGAAATCTTTTAAAGTGGTGATACTGTATATCATAAATTATCTACAATAATTTTATTCAAAATCTCGAATTAAAATCAACAGAGTTATTACCTTTTTTTCAACAACTGATGTTATCACAAATTATAACAATTTCTTCCAAAAAAAAATTAATTCACCCAAAAAAGTCAACATAATAAATAATACAAAGAATTGATTCCTGAATTATTTTATAACTCTTTTTTCTAATTAAGAAACATATTGGTCATTAAAATAATTCTCAATAAATAATTCTAACAACATTTTCAAATTTTCAAATTAAAAAATTTTGTCATATTCTTCTTACTCGATTATTTTGCATCTTTCTTGGCCTAGTTTCGTGCAGTTGGTTCACACTTTTTTGCTGCTGTATTCAACAAAACAATTTTTGAGCTGATGAGAGTAGTCTAAATGAGAAGCAACTCTTTTGCATGTTTCCCAATGACTTTTGAAACAAGAATGTAAAGCTTTGGTGGCTAGTTCACTGTACAGTCCCCGGCTAATTTTCTTTCACCTTAATAAATTATTGAACATGATGAAAAACAGCATGAGTTTTTAAATTGACAGAAATTTGGAGCTTTAAAATACTTGATTTGAAATATTTAATTTTCAAAACATAATTAGGTGAAAGATACAGCTAAAGCAAGCTGAAGTAAACTCTTTGAATAAATTCAAAGCACGGCAGAAATTTAGGGTTTCTGAATGACCTTCAGCTTCAGCTAAGAATTTTACCTCATTCACTTTTTTAAGCAACTTCAGGCAAGCATTGCAATTGTAGCGACCACCATGGTAAGATTGAAGAGGGATGTGAATGGCTTAAAGGCAATCCATAGCCTTCAGCCATTTTGATATCAGGCTTTTCACAATGTGATTGACGCCACCAAGAATTAAATAAAGTTTCATGGGAGGAAGAACTTCTAAAACAACTCTTTGTTTATGAAATGGAAGATAAGGAGGATGAACAGCATTGAAGAAAGCTTTGGCATTTTTCTAATCACCTCAAGATTGGTCAAAACTCTGGTTCTGCTGTTAAATGCATTCAAAGGTGCAAAATTTTTGACATGCAGTGAGTTTTGAAGTCTCAATTTCACACTAACAACATGGTTGTTTGCTACTATGAGAAGTCTACAAACTATGTTTGCAAACTTCATGTCACACAAAATAACTAAGGAACTGAGAGAGCAAGCTTGGAAAATCCTAGCAATGAACCACTTGACGACCTTCTGAGTTGGTAGCAAGTTTTAGGGAGCTTATGGTGAAGTAGTCTCTTAATGTTTTGCTTCTCTCAGCTAGTTTTTGGTGAAAGCTTATTCCAGTATTTGAAAGCCCCGTATTCTTCTGTATTGTAACCATATTTTGAACGCTCAACGGACCAGGAAAGAGTTGCTGTGCAGCTAATGAATCTAAAAATTACCATATAAATTAAAACCATATTATTTACATTTTGTTATGCCAATCAGATTGAAATAAAAATTGGGAAAACTATTAACGTACATTTAACTTTTTTAAAGCCAATAGCATTCCTTGCGGTTGGCTGATCCAAACTGTTCCTCTTGGTGATGCATCTTTACCGGAAATCACAGTGGATGCAATCTTCTCTGGATTTATTGGGCCTGCTAATGGAAGTTTTCTGAGTTTTTCTTTTTTTTTTTTTTTAGTTTTGCAACTTTTTTAGCTGCAGTAATTTATGGACTAGCTTGGCCTTCATTGAATTGTAGAAGATGTTTCTCTTTTCCATTGGTTTTGGCAATTTTCCAGATCAAATTAACACACTGTACTGTTTGCTTTGTGATTTCGACTCCATTGTTTTTACAACAATGGAGTCGAAATTGAACAGGTCTGGAAAATTTTTATCACTTGACTGATTGATCTTGAATCGCAAATTACAGAGGCATGCAATCATCACTGAAGTTCAAAGTATTTGAAATAATCTCGTAAATTTTCTTCTGGTAAGATTATGTCAATTGTATGTCTGCTTTTTTCATATATATTTAGAAAACAGATTTTCTACAGTTGACTTTGGCAAATGTAGACATGATGGAAAACGAATTTTTTTGTTGTTTATATTTAATATTTACACATTTCTTTACACTAATGTAATGCTCAAAGTATATTTATATATAATAAAAAATAAGAAATTATTTGAAATGCATGCAGAGAAAAAATTTAGAAAAAATCAGTAATTAAATTTTTATACTTTAAAACTCTTTTTGATTTTTTTTTGAAGCTTTTTTTATTTTTTAAGTTCAAGTTTTTCAAATCAATATTATTTAAATAAATTAATAAAAACTTATTCCATATATGAGGTGCATGATAAGTAATTTTGAATTGCTCAAGCTTTTTTTTTTGCATGAACATGCTCTAACAGGGTACTATTTGTACGCAATAAATATTTATACTCTGGTTTTTGTTTATAAAAACTAAACAAAACTGCAGGACCTTTTTGCATTTTGGTATTATACATAAGACTTAGAACATTATATACATTTAATTCAAACAATGTTAATAAAGAAATTTGTTCAAAAAGAGGTTTTAAGTGTTCTTTTTTACTTTTAAATCGAATCACTCGTTTGCTTCCGTTTATGATAGAATAGTTCCAGTTTCGTTTTATTGGTACTACTCTTTGCTATATTAGGGGAGAGTTTGGACTGTTGTAATTGTAATGAAAACAATCACTGAAACAATAACTGTTGTTATTCTATTAACTTTTTTAGAAACAATAACAATACCTGTGATTTACAATTATTGTAATACTGTAATACAATAACAATAAATATTGTATTACAATTCTTCTACATAATACAATAGCAATATCTGAAAAAAAAAAGTATTGTAATGACCCACTTCAATAACAATAAATATTGTAGTGTAATTCACCTTTATAATGCAATAACAATTTATTGTTATTGTAAAAAAAAAAATTATTGTAATGTAAAAATTTAAAAAATGTTTAACCAGTCCAGTCTTCGAGATATGTGACCTTGAAATAGGTTACAACTAATATTTAATTATTAATTCTATTTCTATTTTATTTACTGAATATCAATTGTCCTCGTTGCAAACTTTCTATAGCTCAATAAAAGTGAGTTTGATCTGACCTGTACATCTTATACTGCTGGTGATAAACATGATCAATTACAAGCATTTCTTCCACTTAGTTATTTGCTTTTACATAAGACACCTAATCCAATTGTTTCGAAACTTACTCAACTAAGACTTACTCTAATATAACTTTGTCTTTTTTATTTTCTGAAACTTTAATGGCTGTATGTGTTTCATAAAGTAACTTGACTTTAAGATTTTGTTACAAAGTTATGCAAGAATTTTGTTACATAAATCAAAAAAATGTTTATTTGGTATTCTATGCTTCCTCATTTTTCAAAAACGACCCCCTACAAAATTTACCGGTACGGTCTGATAGGTGATGAGTAATATAAAAATGTAGAATTTTTTTTTGCAAAACAGAAGTAGTTCACATGTTTGGACAACTTAATCGATAAGTACTGGTTCCCTCATTCCATAACGCTGTCATTTATTACTCATTAGCGGTAAATTTATTACTCATTAGCGGTAAATAAAAAAATTATTTTTATGCGCTTTATGTAGTCAATCAGTTAGTTAGTCATCAGTTAGTTAGTCATCATCCGGTGAAACATTTCAATATCAGTTTAGACAAAATCATTAAAAAAAAAAAAAATTCACTTCGCATAGTAAATAATTATTTAATTACAAGCATACCATAAATTATATACTTGCATGATTTTGAATGAATATTATTAATGTTAATTCTAAATAAATTATTC